TCTTTCCCTCGATCGTTTTTTTTTTTTTACCCACATCAGTCACTTCGCCGCCGGCACACGCATACGCAGTCGGTTGTCGGGCTGCTGCCACCGATAAAAGATCCGTAAAACCATCGCCGGGGCACCACCAACAGATGCGTTGTCGTCGTCGCAGCCGCAGCTGCTGCTGCCTCATCTCGTCCGTTGAGCAACGCGTTGGGTGGTAACGACTTCACCGCCACCGTCCGAAGACGCGCGGCGAAAGGATTTAGATATACCGCGCGCGCTCGCGCGTGCGTGTTTTTATCGTTTTTCTCACGTATACGACAATTTGTACGTTTCGTACAATCGTGTTTCGCGTGCGTATACGTGTGTGTGTGTGTGTGTGTGTGTGTGTGTGTGTGCGCGTGTGTGTGCGTGTGTATGAATGTATGTACTATACGTAGTGATTAAGTAATTATACAACAATAATAATGTGTTGTAATCGGTAATAAAATGGTTGTATTGCATCGCTGTAATGTTATATCGTATGCGATGATGGTCTTGTAGAATTACCCGCCGCCGCAATTCAGTAGTGTCGGAGTAGTAACTATATTTTGCAAAGACCGTTAGAACTGTTTGCGTGCGTTAATTTTACAATAAAAATCTCCTCTTTCTCGTACAGTATAAGGATTTTTTTTTTTTTAAATCGTTTAATTTTTTTCACCCACCGTAAAAAAAAATACTGATTTTCCGGGTCGAATAATTTTCATTATTGCGTGGGTCCCGGGTACTATTAAATTGTATGCATTTTACTGTTTAATATTGTAAATGCGCCAGTCGCTTGTTCCATTTAATGTGTTTCTGTTTGGTATTATCTGTCCGCAGCCGTAATTCTACACCACTTCTACAACGAAATCGCAACGGACGGTATTATTTCCGCGTGCTATTTAACCTAAGCTCGTTAACACTTCGGTGGTCCACATTAATTATTTACACGTCGCATTATTTTTGTTGACTGTCATAGTCCTTATGTCGATGAGTAATCTCTATTTCTTTACAAGTGATAATATTTACTCGCACAGCCTAGACAACGAACAGCTGCTTTGTTCAATACGCCTTATTATGCGACCAATAAACAACCGGTCGTGACATTTGTACAAAAAAAATTGACTCGAAAAAATAGGTAATGTTTGTTGCAACGGGTAATAAATTTATCTATCAACTAATTATATGTGCTTGACCTTTATATAGAATAATCTTAAAAAGGTATATTTACTTCCGTAATACGTAAAGTAGTTTGATATTTAAAGAAATAGTTGTTGAGATAGAATAATGAAATTGAATAGATATAGAAATATAATGAATAAGTTTATGATAGACAGTTTTCGTTATTTAATCGTAGATATATACATTACGCCGAATATTCCCTGAATATTTCTTTATACCTTTTACTGATTTTTTGGAATGTAATATTAGATATATAATATTGTATTTTTCACAATCATTTTTCTTCTAATTTATAATTGATAGATTTAATTTTAAGAGTATAGGTACTCTATATAAATATAGATTGATATAGATATTATTATTATTATTATGATAGTCATTTCCAGTTGGGAATTATAAATAATGAATTCAATCATAACGTCTCCTCAGAAGCCAGTGACTGTGCTTGACGAGAGATATACTACTATTAACTCAACTGGGGATTCGTGCAATTCGATTGCCCTAACAATGATATCATTGTATAATTTTTTATACCATTTATCTTCAAATACCATCATTTGTCAACTATACGCATTTACTTTTTATCAAAAACAATAACGATTTTAAAATATATTTGTAAAAGTACATTTTTCATTGTTGGGCAAAGTTTCAATTGGATATTTATTGGACATATATTACATGAATTGGAATGTAAGAGTGATATTGAGACACTTGACCTTCAGATTCCATCGCCTGTATAATAAGTTTTTTCAATTTATTTCAATAAATGATAAAAATTTCGCAGTGAAGTGCAAAAATATATACATTTATTAAGTCTATATTTTTTAAGTATAATATTCCTCTCCTTCCAAGAGACTTTTTTGACTGCATCGCCGTATTTAAGGGACGATTCAGGGAGGTAATAGCTTCCAAAAAATATTTAAAAGAGGTGGAAAAATTTTTATCTTGATTTTTAATAAAAAATAATCGATTTTTTTTGCAATCTTAATAGAAAATTATTTATAAAACAAATAAAAAAAATTATATGAAAAATAAATGTAATATTGTAAAATTATTTATAATAATTCGTACCATGGGAAATGTATATCTATTTTAGAGTATTTTATTTAGGTATATAAATATATATATATATATATTTAGCTACACAAATAACTATGTATTGGTTTGATGTTGATTTATATGAGATTCAGACCGAAGGATACCACCAATCAGTCTTGTAAAAAACAATTTTCCATAAATTTATCTAAATAATTAAAATCTCAATTTTTATTTTGGATTTTATATTAATTACAAATATTGTGTTATAATGTATTGAATTAGGTAAAAATAATTGCAAGCGTAGCAAGTGACTAATTAATGAATAATTGAAAATACTAGTTTTCAGTTTTATACTTATGGAAAGAGGCCTCGGTTAGACGACCCGGGTCGTCAAAATTTTGACTGACTGTTATTATTATACTATACATTGCAATTTTTTAATGTAACTTATATATTTTACTATGCCAAAAAAATTTTCTATTAATCATTAAATATGTATACATATATTCAATGAAAAAAAAGAACAATAATAAACTCAAAAGTATTGCGATTTTGTGACCACATATTTATCGATAATCTTTTAAATATTTTTTCTAGTTTTTTGCAATACTGGATTTTTATTTTAATTATCAAGTTTAATTTGTAATGTTAATTTAATTTTTATTATAAAATGAATATATTTCTAGTTAGATATAATTATTCATTAGTTTGATTTGAACATTTTCTGTTTGGTGTATTTATTTAGGCATCTTAAACTATGAAATATAGTTTGAGAAACTATATAAATAAATCTCTTGGGATATATATCAAAGGCCGTGACCATTTAAATGATTGTCACGTACAACTATATTCATGATATTCTTTTCTTTCATACTCGTATAACGATATTTTAAGAATGATAACTAGTGACCGGATTTATATACACAAAAAATCCTCAAAATATGCTTCTAAAAATGCTGTAATATGCTATAAAATATGTATTTATTTTTAAATATGTACTTAAATATTCATTTAAAATGCTGTTTAAAATAATGTATAAATATTATAAATGTAAAAATAATCATTAATTAATACGGTATTAAAAAAAGGATAAAAAAGCTTTTAAAATATTTTGTTGTCTTTATCGTAATTTAACATTCTTTATCTTCAACCTATAAAGTATAAATACCAACATTAAATTAATCGCAATTTTATCGATATTATGTGGCTGTGATCGTGAAAATACGACGAAAATGAATATATGTGCTATTAATAATAATATGCACTATAAAACTACAAATATACATTAAATATGCAAAATATGCAAAATAAAATTAGTATTATTTTGATAAGAAATATCTAAATCGGGGACAATGCTCATCAGATTTTAAAAAGCTTATTCCAATACATATATGCATTTGCATATAAATCCGGTCCCTAGTGATAACCAAGGTACGAAAATATAGTATTTTAAACTGCAGCATTATATTGATACACCGGCATATACTGCGATATAGTTAAACATGTATAGGTACATGTTAAATAATAATAATATATTTTTTAGAATTTAAATTTTAGATAATTAATAATTTTCGTTACATAAAATATGACAAATAATACTGTAGAACGGATTTAATGGTAGTTTAGTCTATATATGAAGTCCGATGCTAAATTGTGTTTTGACCGTAAAAGCATGTTTCTAAGTTTTTTTCCAAAAAAAATATTAGTAAACACATTTTATTGAAAGAGTATTTGATTTTTTTTGTACCACTTTAATTTTCGGGTACACACTACACAGCTTTAAAATGTTCAACATTTTATTGAAACACTTACACACACGATTATTATTATTTATTGACTATTACTTAAAATAAAATAAATGTTTGAATTCTTAAACAAACATGCGTTTATCCGATCACTTACTATGCTTTTTGTTGTTAATATTTTATTGCACAACAGGCAACAGCCTATAATACAATTGTTTACAATAAATGTTAACGAAGAACGAAGTATACGACGTACGGAGTGTTGAAGAAGCCATCTATTGACGTAACATAATTGAAACTTATAGAATGCCAAATTACCAAAGATCAACTAAAGCCATTGAATGGTGAAAATGTGATTATTGGCAAATAGAGGGGACGAATTAAGGGTTAAATAACCCAGCTTTGTATATATGAATAGATTTTTCAGAAGTGTATAAGTTCATACGTTCACTGCTCTTACGTAAAATCAAATCAT